AAGGTCGATCAAAATATTAGCAAAAAATCAAACAAGTAAAATATTGAATCTGACGGGGTAATAAACACCTAGGTTTGAATATCACAATTTTCTTCATTACACATGTACAAATTTAATGTTGCATAAAGCATACAGTCCAATTTTACTTCATGCTACACAATATGCAGTAGTATCATGCATATGTGTAGTGCTGAGAATATAACAAACGCATCACTCATCTGCCAGGCACCTCTCTGGTTCAAAGGAGAGCAGAGTTACATGTTCCATGTTCCACAATGACCAATGGGGCACCAAATCTCGCTTCCTCTGCGGAATAACTCTCAATGTCAAGATTGAAACAACAGCACAAAACACGGTTTAATAATACACAACGCAAGGGACAATATGGTCAGTCTGGTAACTGACCAATGTCCATTGGAATTGTCACCGGATTTTTCATGTCATCTTTTGCGCAGTTTATTATTAAACCGTGTTCTACGCTGTTTTTTCATTATAACCACCAACGCACGAACGAAATATTCTAAAAATTATATATCACTGTCTAAAAATTAGGGCGATGAGATTTCTAACAGCTGTAACTTGAAACCGACCAATTGTTGCGTATTTGGCATAAGGATTTGACCAATCTTTAGATATACTTGATGGAACTGCTGAGGGAAGAAGAGAAAAGGAAGACATATGGGTTCGTTCCATGATTCTTTCGATCATTTATTCATTCAAACATTCATTCATTCTTTCATTCATGCATCTGTAACACTCGACTGGGAAACATAACGAAACAGTTTATTTGGGAAGATACAGTAGATGCGTGCACACATCGTCGTCGTACAAATATTTGGTACACAGAGAGGATCCGTTTCGTAGGGTTCCTTGCTGTCAACCTCATGAAGCCAATGAAACTGCTCGATTGGACGCTTCCTTGATGGAAAGGTAATCCATCGGCCAACCAGCTCTTAGGAGCAGATGATTCGTTCACAATCATTGGCGGTGGGCGAATCAGCGGTCTCGAAATGCCGACGCGAGATAACAGCTGACGCATTCGTCGTTCTTTCAGCTTGACCGGCATGGAGATTAAGGGGCTGTCACATATTCATCCATTCATTGGTTCGTTCAGTCAGCCATTCATTCTTGAGTATTCTACGGCCTAAATCTTACCAAGCTCCAAGCAATGCTTCCGTTCTGTACACCTGGTACAATTCAACGGCAATGTGGTAAAATCCATTCGTTCGTCGAAAGTGTATGCTGTATTATTGGCTACGTACGCTGGATTGTCACACACTTTTGACTTATCCGCATTGGTCAAACCTCGCCCAAAAAATGGCATTAAACCCGCAACACAAACCACTGTAAAAAATTGCCTCACAAACCAAATCTTATTGCCAGTCATTCACGAAAGCGGCAACATGAAAAGAAGTTTTATAAAGTAATAATGATCCAAAATAATTGACAGCAGTTCTGGGGAATCTGTTGACTATTGAACAACCAAAAGGTTTTCCAGTATGGCCTTTGCGCGAGCTGCAGCCTTGAGTGAACTTTTCAATACATAGGAATACACAATCTCATTCATAGTTTAGGGGGAGGGGGCAACGATATGAATAGCGTCGTGTAAAAATTCAAAAAAACGCCGTTGCGCTGTACTTCTGACATTTCTGAAAAACAATCGCGAACGAAGCAATTTTTCTCCGTTCTCTGCTTCCTTCCAATGTTTCCTTCCATCTTAATCAAAAGTTCTCATTTCTGTTCAGGGGAAAAGGACGAAAAGAAAATTTTTGACGGCCCTCCATTACAGATTAATAAGGGTGATTGCCAAAACCTTTCATAAGGGGTTTCTAATAATAATCTTTCGCCAGAATATCCTTATCCATATGTAACTACACACGAAAATAATTGTTTACTGGCGGCGGCATAGAGATGAAATGACAGGAAAATACGCTTTTAATTCGACTGCATATTCCTTAGCAGAACCATTCGTAAATGCTCTTGCAACATGTGAAATGAAGATAAATTTGAATCTTTCACAGAAGAATTATTCTTTCTACGATGGAGCAATCAGTCCCTTACAGCAAAAGTGTTGGAAAGCCGCAAATACAGGGTGCGTCACAAGGCGAAGATCATACCAGGACACAACACAATATTCGAACTGTATTTTTCATGATTCCACAAGAGATTTTCAACTATGTCACGCCCAGTTATGTGATGTATATATAGTTTAAGGAGAAGGATATGCATATTTAAGGCGTGTCATATTGCTTTAACACCCTAAAGCGAGGAAAAAATCACTGTTTTTGTTGCAACTTAAAAAATGGGATGACCAAATTGTTAAAATTCGAGAAGTGCAGAGATTG